CTTTTTTTTTTTTTTTGTTTTTTTGGCTGGGGCTGCGTTTGAAACCGCCACCTCCAGTATATGGGGCCTGTGCCCTACTCCTTTGAGGCACAGGTGCCACCCAATTTCATCGCTTATTTGATTCTGGTTTTTTATTTCCTTTTGGTTATTTTCCGCTTTATCAGCAGTTTCCTTCATTACTTTCATCATCTGTATTCTAAATTTCTTTCTGTCATTTCTAACATTTCTTTATAGGTGGAATAGCTACCTCACGGTCCCTTAGGGGGTTGCTCTGGACTGGTTTTTCATGTTGACAGGATTGTTCTTCTGACTCTTTCTCATGAGTGTTTTCTTTTTTTCTGTGTCCTTGCCCTAATTTTCCTTTCACTTCCTCTTGCTCTTTAAGTTACTGTGCCTCTGGGCTAGGGTTTCAATGAGTCTTTTTGGTACAGGCCCAGAAGGATGAGAAGATTGAAGAGCAGGAAGGGAAAAAAGATTTAAAAAAAAAAAAAAGAAAAGAAAAAAGAGAAAGGAGGGGGGTGAGTAAAAAGGAATATTGACATAAAGAAGAGAGTGGGAGACAGGAGCAATATAGGTGTACAGTAGGGCACTTTGACCCAACCTTGAAAACCCCCAACCTCTGGGGGTGCTGGGTTGGATGGTTCAGCAGCTCTTTGCCGGCCTGTTTGGATACAGTACCCCACCTCCATCAAGTAGAGGGGAAGGACAAAATGCTATTAATCAAACCAAAACAAGCAAACAGAAAACTTTACGGGATAAAATTAGGGGAAAAAAACAAATAATAGGGGTAGAAACACTAGCAAAAATAAAGTTCTAATTGTTAAAGAAGGCAACAATGGAAAATTATATTTAAACTAGAAAAATGAAGAAAGAAAGAAAAAAAAAGAAAAATCTAGAGGGAAAATGTTGAAATTAAGAAAAAAGAAACAACGGGGTGGTACCTGTGGCTCAGTGAGTAGAGCGCCAGTACCATATACCAAGGGTGGCAAGTCAAACCCGGCCCTGGCCAAACTGCAACAAAAAAATTGCTGGGCATTGTGGTGGGCACCTGTAGTCTCAGCTACTCAGGAGGCTGAGACAAGAGAATCGCTTAAGCCCAGGAGTTGGAGGTTGCTGTGAGCTGTGACACGACAGCACTCTACTAAGGGCGATAAAGTGAGACTCTGTCTTTACAAAAACAACGACAAAGCAGTATATATATCTTGCTGAATATTGTCTTGGCAACAGGTGATCTTCTAGGGTATGAGATGTTAATCACAATGCTAATACGTCTATACAGGATGGAGACTGGAGGCCTCTGCTCATTTCTCAAACCCTGCAGGGTGGATAGCCTAAATCTCTCCTCAGTCCACTTAAAAGGCACTTTAAACTGTTAACCTTGGCTAAACAGAAGCTTTTCCAGGAAAGCAGTTGTCACTGGGATTACTCCTGAAGTGGCTATCCACTTACCTAGTGTGCCAAATCAGGTCCCACTCTATGCCCTTGAGAGCCAAGGCTGTAAGGCGTCTCAGTCCCTGCCTTTAGGCTGCTCAGTCACTAGATTACTCGCCCAAGGTCTCCCCCCTCATCCTTGCTATGTGACTCTGAGGGCAGAGCTTGCCAGGGCAGTTCTCCCACAATGGCTCCACACGGCCCACAGCCGAACACTGTTAGCTCCGTCTAGCTCAGCTGCTCAGTCTGGGGCTGTAGACAATGCTTAAAGTCCTCCACACTCTTGCCCAAGTTCTCCCAAGATAGTTCAACTGAATGTCAAGTCCATAAAAAAGAAAAATACAGCTCACAGGTAAGGCCTTTCCAGTTTGCAATCTCACTGCTGCTGTACTTAACAGCTGCCAGTGGGATTAGACAGAATGAACGCACACAACTCTTGCCGGTTCTGCACTGCTTTTGTCCTCCTCATGGGGTCCTAAAGTCTCTCGCTGACTCCCTGTGTCCCCAAAAGGATGTTTGTGGGCAAATCCTACCAGCCTGAGATGCCTGGGGTCTTCTCTCCCCATCACTGTGCCCAGTTGCAAGGAAGCTGTTACTCAGAGGCCATCTTGTTCCTCCTACCACTTCACTGTTTCTTACCCTCTTTTTTTTTTAAAGAGACAGTGTCTCACTTTATTGTCCTTGGTAGAGTGCTATGGTGTCACAGATCACAACAACCTCCAACTCCTGGGCTTATGTGATTCTCTTGCCTCAGCCCCCGGAGTAGAGGGACTACAAGTGCCTGGCACAATGCTCAGGTATTTTTTGGTTGCAGTTTCGCAGGGACCAGGTTCGAACCCGCCACCCTCAGTACATGGGGCCAGCACCCTACCCACTGAGCCACAGGTGCTGCCCAAGGACATTTTAGATTTTTTTTTTTTTTTTTTTTTTAGACAGAGCCTCAAGCTGTCCCCCTGGGTAGAGTGCTGTGGCTTCACAGCTCACTGTAGCCTCCAACTCCTGAGCTCAAGCAAGTCTCCTGCCTCAGCCTCTCAAGTAGCTGGGACCACAGGCGCCCGCCACAATGCCTGGCTATTTTTTTTTTTTTTTTTTTTTTTTTTTTGGTTGCAGCCATCATTGTTGTTTGGCAGGCCCAGGCTGGATTCGAACCCGCCACCTTAGGTGTATGTGGCTGGTGCCTTAGCCACTTGAGCCACAGGCGCCAAGCTGACATTTTAGATTTAAAGAGCTATCTGGAGATGACTTGGCTGCAGAGTTTGAGACTGGTCTGAGCAATAGAGAGACCCAGTGTCTAAAAAAATTAGCCAGGCATTGTGGCATGCATCTGTGGTCCCAAGCCTTAGCTACTTGGGAGCTAAGGCAAAACAATTGCTCAAGCCTAAAAGCTTGAGATTGCTTTGAGCTATGATACCAGGGTACTCTACCCAGGGGAATAGAATGAAATTCTGTCTCAAAAAATAATAGTAAAATAAAATGAAATACATTTGATTTTTAATGCAAATTGCTGCTAGATATTTTATATGCATGAGGCTTAAGAAATCAGCTCTAAATACAATAGAATTATGGCAGGTTTCAGGTAAAGAAGACCTTAAATATCAACAATTGCATGTGGTTTAACCTAATACTCTTTAGATTCTGATACATAAATGTCATTTAAAATTAGTTTTATGGCTTGGCGCCTGTTGCTCAGTGGTTAGGGCACCAGCCACATACACTGGGGCTGGCAGGTTCAAATCTGGCCTGGGCCTACTAAATAACAATTACAAATATAACAACAAGAAAAAGATTGCCGGGCGTTGTGGTGGATGCCTGTAGTCTCAGCTACTTGGGAGGCTGAGACAAGAGAATCACTGAAGCCCAAGAGTTTGAGGTTGCTATGAGCTGTGACACCATGGCACTCTACCAAGGGTGACATAGTAGGACTCTGTCTCAAAAAATTTTAAAAAAAAACGAAAAAACTAGTTTTGCTACCATTTGGTCCAAACCTCAAGGTTGAACTTCAGCTGTGTTTTATTTCTTTGTGTTTACATGTAGTATGTTGGGGAGAGTGAACGTGCTGTGCGACAGGTTTTTCAGCGAGCCAAGAACTCAGCACCCTGTGTGATTTTCTTTGATGAAATGGATGCTTTATGTCCTCGAAGATCAGACCGAGAAGTAAGTATCATGGATTAGCGGTTTATATATTCTTTAAGCACCATAAGGCTTTTGTAAGATCCAAACCACATACTTCTTTTAAAGTCATTCCTTGGGCTTGGCACCTATGGCTCAAGAGACTAAGGCGCCAGCCACATACACCTAAGGTGGTGGGTTTGAATCCAGCCTGGGCCCGCCAAACAACAATGAGGGCTGCAACCAAAAAATAGCCAGGCATTGTGTGGCGGGTGCCTGTGGTCCCAGCTACTTGGGAGGCAGAGG